AAGGTGGAAATGTCATTACGCTCTAATAGGATTTAACTCTTTGTGTGTCAAGTATTTTTCTTGCCCATTTTTTTAAAAAAAATGTCACTGAATTTCGTCATCATTTTGTACCATGCAGTTTGTTTTAGATATTGCTTTTAGTTTTTGATCAAATGGTTTGTCAATTTTTATCGACATTTTATCTGGGAGGAGTAGACTGTACAAAGTCATTTTAGATGATGTCAAAAGTTTGCAATGGCGTTCAAAAGAGTGGCAACCAAAGAAAAGCAATGAGTTCGCCCATTTTTACCAAACCCGATAGCGTGTTAATATCTCTGGGTTAGCGCGTCCTACTTGTTGCCGAGTACGATAGCTGGTTAGCGCCCCCTAAAAGCATTTCGATGTGTCTTATAAAGTTTGTTTTATATACTAGTAGCCAAAAAGTAGTTTATAGCTCGGTTTTCACAACCTCGTTGTAATTGAACCATTTAAAAAAATAATTGGATGACTATACTATACTTGTGTTCATTATTTCTAGTTTCTATTTCTTTTTCCATAGAAATGAGTCGGGTAAAATTAGGTTAAATTATCTGGACTACATGCCCAAAACTACTCATAGAGGGCGATAACAACATGAAATATACTATCCAGATATGGAACCACATAACTAGTTTAAATAAATAATTCCGTTCTAATGGCACATCACTATCACACTGATTTTTCTGCGTACAATTTCCATATCACAATCACGATCTTGGTATTTTATGACGAGTCTCAGATCGAAAATGGGCAAAAACTTGAAATAAATCAATTATGCAAATTTGGGTAACATCAACCAGTCTGTACACTCACACAGAAAACATCAATTAACCAGTATGCAAAAATAATAATAATCCATATTTTGATCTTGAAACATGCTTTGGCTGTAGTAAGGGACCGCGACCGGAAATCACATGACGGACAGCGGAGTGCGTTTTGTATGTGACAGCGCCCTCTGTGGAGATTTAGTTCGGACCCAGTCTCTTACCAGAGTTCATTGCAGTTAGATATACTATTATTCGTAGAAATAGAACTCTACCTGAACTCAGACAACCAATAACTAGTTAGTTGTCTGAGGCCTGAGAGATTGGTTGGGATCTTGAGGACCATTTACGAGAAAACGTTAACCACGGGATTGCATCATGAAATTATGGCACGCCCAACATACACAAAAAAAATACGGAACTCAAGTAATAACAATATAACAAACATTGAAAAACAAAAATAGAAGATTGAAGGTGTTACTGATGTCTTTGAAAGAAATTCAAGATGCGTTTAATAAATTTCATCAACATATGAATCATAAAATTATTTACATGTTTATATTCTTTTCGTATTTTTTTCGTTGTAAACTAACACAGCGTTTTGATGTGATCTTTATCCCTGCTTTCCTATAACATACTTCACAGATTCTCTTTTTTCGACTTTTTGTCTCCCCTACGCTGTTCTACGTTTGTAGGACAGTTTTTGTTATGTTCTTCAACAGTTTATTTTTACCTTCCTGGTTCTATTAATGTCATTGAAAAATCATTTTTTCATTGCAAATTGAATACTACGTTAGTTAATATTACTATTGTTGTTGTTGTTGTTACAGATTTGAAAACTGTCTTTCTATAATTCGTGTTGGGTTTATCTGATTTAACTGAATATGTTATTATACTATTTAAATTTCTATTGAGTTTGTTATCAACAAATGCAGCTTTCTACAAACGCCCATTTGATGTATTAGCGGCACGGTTTTAATATTTAATTTATTCAAGTTATTATCAGGGGGAAATTCTTCTCTCTCGGGGTCTCCACACTGTCAGGGGGGAATCTCGTCTCGTCTCTATATCTCGTCCCCTTGAGGTACGGGATCGGGAAAGTCACTTTAACTTTACAGTCAAATAAGGCACACACAACGAAATACGTTTCAGCTCTCGTCTTAGTCGGTCAATCGAGCACTCTATAAGACACAGCGCCCTGGGGAAAAATCCCCAAGACTCTCTTAGACTGCGTCAAGGCTCGCCCCAAGGCTCTCCAGGACTGCGTCTGTCGTGGAGTATTCGCCAAGACCAACTCAAACTCTCTTTATTCATTTTCAAAACTCTAACCAATTACAAAGCAGTAAAAAGACTCTAAGGCGTAACCTTCAATCATAAAGCCAATCACACTAAGTACTGATTACGTCATATCTTTTGATTAATCGTTCACTACATTAATAACTATGGATGTCAGAATAGCGA